ATGCAAAAACCAAACTCTGAAAAAATGACTACTTAGGTGGCACAATGTTTCTTACAGATTTTCAATGCCCTTAAAATTTCAATTATATTTCATAGACAAAATGCATACAAGTGTTCATTCTTATGCTGATTCGACTGCAACTTACGTCTTCGTTCAATTTTTTACTCAAAAAGGGCAAAATTTGGTATTTAAAAGCTTTTCCAATTCGCGAATAATTTTAAACTCTGACTTGCCGTTACACTTGCATTTGGGCCTTCACAAATGCAAGCCATACATTTACCGGGTACGTTAATGCACACATTTCTCTACGGTTATAACAGGGGCTATATGGACTTCGCAAAATGTACCAGTGGATTGGGGCCAGATAATGAAATTTACAAGCCATATTAGTAAATGTAGTGAAATGATGTTTTATGAATGTCCATTGCATGATATTAAAAAAACCGCACAATATGAAAGTTTTTTTCAAAGTTAAATCCAAACCTTCCTTTGAGTAAACAATTGGACGAAGACGTTATTTTCTACCGAATTAGCAAAGGAATGAATAATCCTACGTGGTTTCTTTGAAATGTAATTAAAATTGTAAGGGTAGTGGAAGCCAGGGAGAAAAACGCATGCCGATTAAATAGCGATTTTTTACGGAACGTAGTTTTTGCACGAGGTGTTAAAGATGTTTGTTTAAACCCGGCATTCCGAGCTATCTGAGATATCATGGAACTATGCAGCATGATTATTACTTTTAAAACCCTACTAAAGTAATCTTCTCGAAACGAAAACGCATTTCGGAATTTCGGTTAACGTTTCATAAGTAAGCCCACCTACGGTATGTTGCGAACGCCAGTCCGCAGATTGGCAAATTAAGCTTTCGCCTCACTTGGTCGTGCATAATAAAAATTATGTTCGTCGCCGAAATTTCCTTTATTTAACACAGCAAACATATGGACGGAAAAAATGACACTTGTGAGATTGAGGGCTGTTGTCTGACCAAATAGCAAAACGGAGTATTATTTCTGAGTGCGAGGAGATTCCGTTGTTCTTTTTGGCTCTTTACTCGCCTGGTATTTGAGAACGGTGAAGAACGCCAAATAAAACGTCAAAGCCTGTAAGGAAACATAAAATGCTGTAGTTGTCGCTTAGTGTGGCCTCCTGCAGGCTAGGAAAACACCACGTCATAGGTGGCATATGCAGATGGCAGGTCATATTCACTGGTTACCTCGTTAACCACATCTATATCCGTTTTGACACTTTTAAAGGAGGGGCAAGTGAGACAAACTTAGCTCAAATCTCCGTTGATGAGCTCACATTATGAGGCTACGGTGCATGGAATCTCATGCGACAATCAGTCTGCTACCTACCGCATCTTCCACCGCCGCATGCGGAATGCTAGACTAGCACACATTATTTACTTTTAAAATTATGTTACTTCGACCAATCAAGTCGTTTATGAAAGGCAAAACCTTTGTTATCTGGTTCCCTGTCGATAGATCTTATGAAATGTCGGCTGAAATGCTGTAATGCTTTTCCTATAAAGAAAGATTATCTGAGCGCGGTGGTAATACTGATTACCCTGCGGCTTTGTCATATAATATGTCGGATTAAGCAGGAAGTCAGCTTTTGAATACAGTGCTTTTTAGTCTTCTGTTGAAAACATACTCGGTAAAGAAATGGCTATGTACGTAGCATGCACTTTTCTCGTTGATTCTTGATAGCATTACAAATACAAATATGTCTTTTATAAGCCATAAACAAAATATGCTTTAATTAAGTCGCTTAGTAGACAGTCATGTCATCTTTATATTTTGCACGCGAAGAAGGAGTAAAATTGGGTTTTAAAAAAAACCTTCTCTAATTCGCGAACAATTTGGATCCATACCATTTGATGTATTAACGCTTAGTGATTTCTGCCTACAAGATGGATGCGTTCCGCGTAAATAAAATCACATATTTTTTTACGTTAGGCAAAATATATCAAAGGGAGTTCAAATAATTTGCAATGTATGCGGACCATGTTGTACATTTCATGATTAGTTGCGGTAAATGACCATGTGCGATGCTAAGTGAATAGACATTGCGCGGTCAAGAAGAAGTTCATAATGAGACAATTCGTTAAAATTTAATTTTGGTTTTTCGTTAAGTAGGAAATATAAACAACTCGTAATTGTCCATTAAACTACTGAAATAACTCGTATTTTCTTTATGCTTTATACATGATATATTTAAATTTGCACGACCACCAAAACTATTGGGAAAATGCATGCCCCTTAGGTAGTCACCTTTACCGATTACGGTTTCAAGGAGATTTAAAAGCAGTGTATTCAAAAGGTGCTAACTTTCTGAGACCAAAATATTACAGAATTATGCAGCAAAGTAATTAGTATTACGGACGTGCTCAATTAATCCTCCCTAATCAAAAATGCATTTCAAAATTTCAGCCAACATTTCACTGTATCTAAGGATATCCCTGGACTAAAAATGTATTTAATGACGTTTTGCGCAGATCTTTAGTGGAAACCGAAAACAAGGGGTTTGAATACTACATTAATTTTAAAGAATGTGCCCGTTCAGTTGTTCAGCTCTTTGTAATTTATCATTGTGGAAATCATCAACGGTTGCATCGGCATAGCTGGTGATAATTCCGGCACGAATCACCTTGCATTTCGTGCAACAATGATTCGTTAGTGTCCGACAAATAGCAAGGTGCGCAACGGGAAATAATCAAAACTCCCTTACTTTGCATACAATGAAACCTTGGCTAAGTTTGTAGTTTCCACAATGAAAAGCAAAGTATTTACGGCCAAGAGGTGATATAATAAGTTTTTTTTTAACAGAGCATCGAAAGTCCAAATGTACATGAGGACTGGTCAGATGGAGCCGCAGGCGTCATTAACATTCATGAGTAATGTGCAGTCATTAGTGATTTGACCCTGACCTCTGAGAGGTAGTCCGTAAATTGTAATCGCACACCATTTATATTTTCACGTTGACTTAGTACAGGAAATGAGGTCTGTGACCACAACGTAAGTGAGTAAAAGATGAGTTTAATTATATTTATCCAAACGACCATAAGACTCTGAAATATGGGACTTGGTTATGGCTACTTCAGTATGTGTGTGCTTATTAAATATAAGTCTGCTAATCAGGAACTTACCACGGCAGAGCACAAAATCAAACTCGCTATTAGAAAGACAGGCCAGCGTCTCAATATCACATCCACCGTAACTAGGAGCGAGAAAAAGCATGCATGTCTTTTGCACTGCAAATTGCCAAGTCTAAACGAATATTCTAGTGTTAGAATGGAAACTAAGCAGAATTTATTTTATATGGATATCATAGGCAACTTATACTCTATCTACTATTTTAGGATCACATACTTGGTGTAGTCTGATGAAAACTATCATATGCAGCTATAGTTAAAATGTAAAATGTCATCACACAAGTAAATAAGTCCCCTGTTATGAGTTGGTGAGTCGATGAGGTCAGTCGACCCTCTTTATAATCCTGGCGGCAGCTCGATCTTTATGAAACATGCGCCGACCACTTTTCACAATTTTTTAAATGAAATAACATGTGCAAATAGTCTGAGCGAAAGAAGGAATTTCCGGGCGCAATATGCAAACAAACGAAATGCGTAACGTTCGGGGCGCACTAATGTGACATTTTGAATTTTTTGCCATGCTCCGTGAATTTATCGACTGCTGAATTAAGTTGGCTCTAGGGAGAAGTTAGCATGTTTCCAAATATTTTTTTTGAAGATACCCGTCAGCACCTATCCTGATCAATGGAACCAAGTTTGACTAAAGGGACATTTAGCACGCCCTCGCGTCTCCTTGAAGATGCATCCGTGTACATACGCAGTTTCAACCAATTGGCGCAATATTTGTGCTTTTGCTTCAACTTTATAAACACATACCTGATTGCACGTCTATACTACTCTATTAATATAGACATACACATCCATGTACGAGCCACACCATCGACAAATATTGCCCGTTTTGCAACAGCGTTATTGGTAGGGCACAGTTTTTTTGTAAATTGAACATAATACTATAGATTTTTTTCCGTTTATTCGTAATAATTAATTTTCCTATGCGAAATCAACGATTTCTTCATTGAATGACTTTAAATGCTTGAGGACAGTAATGTTATCTGGGCGAATAATGATGTAAATTCGGTAAAATACTTTCCGTCTTTTATTTTATTTGAGGAATATTGCTGCTTTTTCCAAAGGAACACCTTGGGGTGAAGAGGAAAGAGTGCAACCTCCAGTCAAAGTGGAACTTTCAAGATCGTCAAACATCACCGCGACTGATTAAATGTAAGATGTACAGAAAGACATCCATACGAAATCCGCGTAAATAAAGGAGAACAGGGAGGATATCGCACGAAAATTATGTCGCCAGTCTTGCACTTCAAGGGTATTGCCAAGTATTATAGTCAGTCAGCAGACCAGAGTTTGGGCAAATTTTCCAATATGGTTGCACAAGAATGAACTGTATTTTTGCGTTTTAAATTATTTGGGGTGTAGATCAACAACGCAGGCAAAAATATCAAGAGAATAAAGGATTTCATGAAGTCACATGTTAACACACTGGCCAATTCTGGGTGAATTTGAATAGGTTTAGGAGGTTTAGTCCTAAACATACCATTTTGCTTTCATTTAGAGGGCCTTTTCTTCATGAATTTTTTAACGGTTTTGTCTGGTTGTGGACGACAAAGGATTCTAGATCATCCTTAAGATATAGCGAATGCATTCCGATTTTCAGTATTATTTAATGGTTAAACATATTGATGTAATGTATTGTGTGTGTTTATTAAGACGTTCAAAATAAGACTTGTCTTGAAAACACTTACAGACTTTTGTGGGTTCTTGGACATTCTCTAGGATGCAAATGAACGTAATGGTAATACCTGTAGACCCAGCGAAACAGAAACCCTACCGGCTAAAAATGAAACTAACAATGAAAGCCGGCAACTAGTACACTCAAAATCAAGGAAGGACTTTCTCTAATAACTGGCTTAATTGCAAAGTGCTTTAACAAAATATGTCACTGGCGAATGTCTGCGTACCAATGTAAAATCAAACTCCTTCTATAACATTAGGTACGTTTTTCGCATTCCTGTCGATAAGGGATGTGCCTAAATATTTGCCGTCATTTAATCAACCAACAACGTAACAAAATCCCGCTCAAATTTTTTAACCCTTTCTAATGTGTTAAAAATCGATTTTTCTGAAATTTTCGATTCTTCGTATGATCCCCATCTCAGGATTAGACGTGTGGACCGCCGTGTGGTACGCCTACGTTACGTGCACTTGTTTCAAGATTTCATAAATAATTGCCAATAGGATAGCTGAATTGGCCACACCATAAGACGTTCCACGGTAAAGTCAAAAAGGAAATCTTAAAGTGACGAGCTTCACACGAGATGGTCATCTAAGTTCGCCATCCCTCGGTTATGTTCTAAGGAAATTTCTGCAAAAAGCAGACACAAGTTCAATCTTTGGCGTGTCACTAGAAGACGTTGTGACTAACACCCCTGCAGGCCTTAAGGTCGGGTGACTGTCTGCGGCGCAGAATGCTTTACAGGGTTATTAAAAGAGGCTTGAAGTTGGCAGCCTTTTAAATTGCCAGTGATGGGGCTACATTACGTTAGAATTGCAAACGTGCGAGCAAGTTTCTGCGGTTGGAATGGCAAATGTCTACATGCCGCAAATAAATATAAGCAAAAACCATTAATTATGAAACAGCTCTCTAACATCTGAAAATAATGTGTACATAGTCATTTTTCTTCCAGATAAACGTGACCAACGACAAATAGCTAGATATGATTCAGAACTGACCAATTTAAAAAATTAAAGCAAGTGGGCATGTCCAATTTATTCTTCCGCAAGTTAAAGCTCCGCCACACCGAAACCTCACGACCAGAACGGTGGATTGGGCATGCAGTTGATAGAGACAATGTACTACTGTAGTATCCCCTACGCTCACCTGACTTAACGCCGTCTGATTACCTTCTGCGAAATTCTGTGAAAGAAATGGTTTTTGTATTTTGCAGACTGATGAAATGAATCACTGAGCTTTTGAAGGCAGTTAAATAGTAATTACTGCATCGACCGTGGCAGGAACACGACTGCTGACTGAATGAGTTTTGCGCCACAAGTATTGCATGCAGTAGACGTTCTAAATAACTTGTGAACATTTTTACATCGCCATCTCAATTGTGCCTTTTTAGGAAAATGTAAAATAAAATTTTTCCTTTTTGCCATCGAGCGTTTCATTTTCATCATTGTTCGGATATTTTTCACACTCATGTGGACATACCCAAGAGTGTGAAGTTGATACAGACACTATGTACTAACAACGCCTTTCTCTTTACATTGGAACACTATTCGCTATTTTTGCTTACAATAATGCCATGTTTTACGCATCTGACTGCACAGGATGGTGATCATATTAATAGTTACATAGTAAATAGTTGGATGCCGCTGAAATTGCCGACCATCCGGCCAATTCCTTTTATTCGGGTGCATTCAAATAAACTATGAAAAATTGGAGGGTTTTCTGCAGTTTATTATTGACTATTTGCTAAGGCCAGGAACGTGTTGGAAAGTCTTGAAAAGTATTCTTTGCAGAAAATATTACTCCAATTTTCGTCAGGAGATTAAACACATAAACGACTTTCGAGTGCTTCCGATTCCTCTCGTAAACATCTCGAGTTTGTATTAATATCTTCTCATTATGAAACATGCAGGGGTCACGTAAACTAGCCTAGGTCATTTTTAAGCATAGACGTCGGATCGGATACAAGGTAACATACAGTACGTGACTGATCTCATGAAATGTTAGCTGAAATTCTGAAATGCGTTTTCGATAAGGTGGGATTATTTAGGTAAAATTGTAATATTTACAAGCATGCTGCGTATCCCTATAGCCTTTCGTACACAAAAGGACGTCCTCTTTTGAATGCATGTATTTTTGATCTCCTACAAAAACTACACTTGCTGAAAAATGATTACTTATAAAGCATGCATTTTCTCTATTGGTTTTCCATGGTCCCATAACTTCAAAAGTATTTTATAAAAATCGTGCACAAAAATATGCTTTCAATTTCTCGGCTGGTAGAAGATTACCTTGTCGTCATATTCTATACCCGGAGAATGGGTATATTGAGGGTTTAAAGGATTTCTAATTATGAGATTTTTAAGACAGTTTGATGTTTGTGCATACAGCACCGCACATGTCCGTTTACCAATGTTCCTCATGTAATGTACAACATATTCCGGATTCATTGCAAAATTTTACGATCTCTATTTGGTATCTCCTTAAGGGCATATATGAATATATGATTTGCCTTACGCGGAAAGCCTGTCGCTTGTATACTGAAATTGCTGAACGCCAATGCAGGGCGTGATCAGGCTCAAAATTATTTGGGAATTAGGAAAGAATGTTCTTTTAAAACCTAAATGTACAATTTCTTCGGATATATAAATGAAGACAATGTGATTTTTTACCAAACAAGAAAACGAAATCATACTTTTGTGCAAGTTTTCTATAAAATATATTTTAATTTATAGGACGGTCGAAAATCAAAAGAGAAAATGCATGCTTTATAAGTAGACATTTTTCAGCAAGTGTGGTTTCTGTCGGCGATCAAAAATAAATGCATTCACAAGAGGACGTCTTGTTAGGTCTGAAATGCTATAGGGTTACGCTGTATGCTTGTCAATATTACAACCCCACATAAATAATCCTACCTAATCGAAAACGCATTTCAGAATTTCAGCTAACATTTCGTGATTTGTCACCGACTGTAGATATCAACAAACATTTTTTAATGTTTTGACAGATAAAATTCTTCGCAGTCATATCCTGCATGCCGAGTTCGTTTTTCAGATTATACTAGGCAATTGTATACAAGAATCTACGAGGTACATGCCCAAATATTATTTGACTACTTACTATGCACGCGAAATGGCTTCTATTCAAGGACAGGCGTGAAGGTGTAAATAAGTGTTCATATGATATATTTGCACACATCCCTCCTTTCTCCCGGTCACATTCTCACACAACAATGGCAGACTTCACTCATTAAAAAAATTTTAAGACACTAGATATTCGGAAAGGAAGTTTTTTGTCTACTGAGTTACCAAAGAGACTGTCGCTTAAGGACCCTACCCGCCTCTGGGTTTCCGTGTACCGCTAATTGGACGTCAAGGGATTTTGTCGAAAAGACTGAGGAAAACCGGTGTGGTTATTTTCAGTTTATTTTCCATTAACCACCAACGAAAGCACGCCTACCAGCACGCCTGATGCATGCGATGTGTAAACACGTGTTCAGGCGCGATATAAAGAACTTCGCGCCTACATCATTTCAGGCATCGTGCACGCAATACAACTGTTGTGAACGTGAGACTAAAAAATTACAATGAACTGTAGTATACTAGTTCGCATTTCAGGAGTGCAACTGGTGTTATGAAAGATGAGATAACCAATGTCTTTAAAAGTATTCATAACAACTTCACAAATTAACAGATAAAAGAAGATGGCTAATTAACGCTGTGGATGCAGGCAAAGTGAATCGGTCTTGAACTAAATTCACACGATGACACACTTTGCGTGAGTTTTCCCACAAATCATTTATGAAACAGCAAAACAATCAAACAAGTTGAAAGACGCATGTTATTCTGCAGATATAACAGTTTTACAGATCCCACTTAATACGATCTTTACTGTTTTTTCGATCTAGTTTGACACAAAATGATAAATTATCTGCATTCGCAAGTTTTTATTGAAACAATTTTTCCAGACAAGTTAAAATTAAATCCGCCAGTACGTCTTGCCCGTGGCTAATGGAAACACGTGCAGTACTACTGCAGTTTTAGTAGTTTTCGATATTCCTGGATGACCCCCAAACATTTATATATGCTGCATCGAGAGTATTAATTCAATACTAAATCTTGTGAAGGACACTTCACTAAAATCGAATCGAAGAAATTCAAAAGTTTGTTAATTGTTTGGTATACCGTGCAGGAGTTCGGTGTAAACTCAGTGGACGTCCTGGGCATAGAAAATATCAGTATCAATCAGTGAGGTTCAAACCACAATTCGTACTTACTACACACAGACATCAGTAATATTGTTTGCCTGTACTAGTCTCTAACATTTATTGCGAAAATGCGATAAGTCCCTTTCGGTGACAATATCTTTCAAACCAACTGAACTAAATTGGATTGCCAAAAGTGTCAATGATTCTAATTTGCAGCCGATTGGGACGTTTTAATGCTATCTTTCGTAAAATCACTCGCGCTCAATGATTAGAACCCCTGGAAATTGAGGCTTTGTGGGTCAACTTTCAAGAACTCGTGCAGGTCAATTATGTGTTCGTTGCCACGAGGTGTTTCACTGTGTTCACTGTTCTTAATGCGAGAAATGACCCAAAAGGCCACTCGTCGACACATATAATTTGATGTTACAAAATAAGCCTATACGACTGATTGCATTTGTATGATGCCGTGTCGCTAGCAGTGTTTAGATCCCGTATTAGCTGGAAATCAGATTTTCCGTATGGTCTGATAACATGAGAAGATATGGTGAAGGGAGGTCGTAGTGGTTGTGTGCACCCTAAATCTGTTGCGATAGGGAAACTGGAAAATGACATTGTAGTAGCGTACAATAGTCTTCACATCAGCACTGCAACTACAGCCCCCGGTAGATGCCATAATCTCTGGTTATAAAGCCATCCATACCAATTCCATGCATGAAACTGATTAAATACACTTGTAGGTGCATACAAATTAAACTAGTTGTGAAATGAATATACGTGCGTTACAACACATTTAGCATGATTTTTCCCAGAAGTCACCCGCACCATAGGAAAACCGATTCAATGCTTTGCAGTATGCGTGTTATTTTGGAGAAATAGTAGTTTCATAGGTCTCCTTTAATGAAATTTGCAGGCTTATTGCTTATCCTGTTACGTTTATGTACAGAACGTTAAATGCTATGGTATGCAGATTTTGAAAAAATTTTTCAAACATTTTTTTTCACACAGCAAGTTAAACTTAAATTCCCCATTACATCTTGCGTGCAGCGAATTAAAACGCAAAGCGCTACTGCAATTCCTCCGACCCACGATCTTCCTAAATGGCCCCAAAAATCTAACTACGTTGCGAGCAATTTGCGAAATCAGCATGAAACCAAGCAGTGGGCCATCCATTAGAAGCTAATCGAGAAAATCCATCAAAAAATCATTGCATATTCATGGATGTCTTGAACGCAGATGATATTAGTATTGGTCAGCGTTGCTAAAATTGCAAATTAGAGGCACCATTCACGAACAGTCATAATGCCTGCGTGTCTCCACTCTTAACATTTTTCGAGAAAATACAATACGCCAACTTTTCCGATAAAATATTTCCGTGTCACGCCACTGGTTCAAAAACGGGAACTCGTGAATTTTGGTTGTTTCCGAGTCACATTCTAAGGAATCCTAATGATCCCACACGGTCTTTAATCATGTTTACTATTATTCAAGTAAAAAAGACTTAAGAGGTCACTCGCTGCAAATAATATTTGATACTCCAAAGTAAACTGTAACTAATGATTGTAGTTGGGTATTGGTGAATGCCGCTGCCAGCGTATAGATCCCGCATCAACTGTAATTTTAGATTTTCCTTTACAGTCTTTTACGACCAGAAAATGTTCTTAAAGAAGTACCGAAGAAGACGAAGAAGCTACTAACGGCATTTGTATTAGCGACATATTGATGCATTTAACTGTCACCAATACAAGCAATGGTCCATTCGATCGAATTGGGGTGCAAAAGCGTCTGATGGACGCAGATATAAGTACGAATGTTAAATTGCGTTTCGCTTACTACTACAGAGCATTGTTAATTATTTAAAATGCTATTCCATGCATTAGTGTCTTATGAGTCGTAATCACTCAAATCTTGGCAGATAGGCTCAAAATTAATTCACTATTTTTACACACATTCAATAGACCATGCTCCTCATCGTAAAGTACCAATTTAACAAAAACATTTCCAACAAAACATCAGGTTCTTCATTGTCTGCAGCTGCAATGCTAACGCATCTCATGACCTACACTTCTATAGGCGCACAATTTGCTATTTGTACGACTCCGGCCCAATCCTCCACAGACTATCTCGGTCTAGTTGTAAGATTGTTGATGCTGAAACGAGACAGATTTCTTGATGGGTTAGTTTTATCACGTCCCTCCTGCTTATGAAGAAACCTGGATAGACAGCTCAACAAGTTTAATAATTACAGGCCCTGTTACTTAATAGGGCACGCCAGCAGTCGATTTAGGGATGCCTGTCGAAATGAATGTCAAGGAACACACTGATTGGTGTAAATGAAGTGTCAGTCGACGGGTGCGGTATGCTGGCATCAGTTCATTAATATTGCCTGGTACTTCGTGAGCGGCGCACACTGTTTGCTGGCAATCAATAAGCAGTATTTGCTGCAACAGCAACCAGATCTCAATTACCTCAGCTATTTAACAACCAAATTAATTAGTGATGATTTTTCCCTCACAGTAAGAAAAAGAATATTTACACGCGAATTGTTAGGGCAGGGGAGACGGACATTCTGCAGAGTCATATATTGTCCTATACAGGACTAGGTCTCGGTCTCCCATAGTCTGCATAAAATCGATAATGCGTCAAGTAAACAGTGTCAAGATAGTTGACTAAAGCACGTCTCTTCTGGCTGCAGCTAAGGGACAATTTGCATTGCTTCGGACACATTAGACTAAGAACCGTCGCAGAAGCTGCATGCAGTTTCTGCTAATTCAACGTGGCAGCCGACTACTGTCCAATTTACGAAAACATTAAATCACTTCTATAGCCACCTCTTATCAGGCCTGATTATTGTCCGTCAACTGATATAACACATGTTGATTTCCAAATATTAACTACGATTTCGCACACTGCCAAACCAAGGCATATTCTCGTACACTCAATTTCTACGTAATTGTTTGGTCTGATAATAAGTTCCCGAAAAGAATGTTTGCCGACTTGGCCTCTTAAAGTAATAAACAATATAATGAATAACACTTGGCCTGATTTGCGTTTTCTGTTGAATTTATGCGTTTAATTTTTATCGTGTTTTTTTTGTGTCTGAATAACAATGACTCAATTACCGTAGATGGGCTAATTCATGAGGTTTTGACCAAAATTCTGAAAGGCGTCATCGTTTCAAAAAAATGTCTTAACTAGGACTAAATAATACATTATCACGAAGCATTCCTTTATAACAAATCAGTTATCCACGATTGCGAAATTTTTAAAGAGGTTTTTTCTGGCCGCATGCGAAAAGCATACTCTGTAGAAATGACAGATTATATAGCATAACTTTTTCTCATTCATGTTCGACGCCTTTAAATTTTCGTCATATTTCGTGGAAATGACGCCTATAACTGTTTATTCTTTTACTCCGTTGATGGCAACCTATTCCTTCCCCAATTTTATACACGACAAAAGGATAAATTTAGATGGGTACAAGGTGCCCCGCTGCCCTATTAACCACTTCGCTAAAAACTGGTGTATATGATATGATTTTTCGACAAATCCGCAGTATGCACACTGTCACGTTCGTTACGGTAGGATACATTTGAGAGATCCATTTCTACACTAACGCACATCTTGTCATCATAGATGAGATCTACGTCAAAGCTACTAACCTCATGGTGCCATTTTAGCAACCGGTAAAGAAATCACTTAGTGCGCCTGTCCGTATTGCATCGTGGATGCTGAAACAATGAAAACTTATTAAGTACTTATCCTTCATAGGAGAATTTCCAAAAAGAACGCGATTATGCAATTTCATAGTAAGAAGAATTAATGTCACTAGTAAAAGTAGACATTCGCCTACAGCTAACTCAAGATTATCACGCCGTCTTCAGGTCTAATGTGAATTCGGCGGTTAATTGATTTTCTACTAAATAAAATTTAAAGTCACTTTTCATGTCGATATGTGGTTGAAGCAGCCAAGGTTGTGTGTCATTTAAACAGCGAAACAATGTATTGTTTTACTCCTACACATAAGTTAGTTTATAATTAAAATCAGTGGAATATTCGACTGATTGACTGTAAACCATTGTTCATTTTACCTAACCGTCAGGTGTAAGGACAGCAACTAGTACGGCTGCTTAATGCCCTTGCATTTTTTAGGCAATAGGTGGGATCATTACGCAAAATAATTATTTCACTTTAATGAATCCCTAGTAGGCAATCATTTCGTAAATTTCAACTAATTTACAAATAATGTTTCTTAGTTGACGAATATTTTGATCGGCTTCTAGCACAAAGACTTACTGTTGCACCCTTGACTTATTGCAGAAAAGATAAATAAATTATCATATATTGTTGTCGTTTGGTGGCAACATAATATGTAGAAATTTTGAGCGCGCAATGTGCGGCGAATCTTGTTAAGGTCAAAAATGTACCAGGATATGGCAGATCGACTGACTACCCTGCAAATATATAAAATGGGGCATATGCAACCGCTGCCTTCGCCGGGCAGCATTTATTAGCTCGTAGGTAGCCATTAAATGTACAATGCCTTGTAAACGCCAGCTATATGTCTAGCCTTTTTCATCTAAATTGTCTGTGGTCCAAGTAATAAGAAACGGCCATCCATTATTATCTGCAGCCACGCTTTAGGTGGCTTGCAAAATTCGTAGGAAAGTTCTGGTCGCATTTAGAAAACAACGACCCGCCTTTCTCTAAAAGTGCCAACAAATGTTGAAAATCCTGCAGCATATCAATACTTAGCCACGAAACTACTCCATTATCAATTAAAGTGCACAAATATTTTATCAAATATACCTTTGCCCTGCAGCCGTATTCAGTTGCAGATGATAAAGCGTTCGTCACATCAAAAGATTTCAAAATTTTTTCAGCATGATTTTCAATCCGATATGAATGAAAATTGTAGGGACGATTCCCTTGCTGGGTCGGAATTGATTAAATTGTGCGAATTCATTTAATCCACTATGCTGGGAGCTATCACCAAAACGGCTGCTCGGTCATCAAAGATGACGAGGTGTTTTACACTTTACTCGCTACAAATAATTTTCTAAATTCAATCTCCGTTAGTAATAGAACCAACGCTATCTACTGTCACAAACTGACCGAAGTAATGCATCGTATCGATGCAAATCGTCAGCGAAAAATAAAATTTCCAAACATGATTCTCCACTCAAGGCGCAATTTCTTTCGGGACGGCAGGCCGACTGCATGAAGGAACGGCAGTTTCAGTCCATTGTCCGATGCGGGCACTTTTTTCAGGCTAGCGCAACAGATGCAGCGAAATTTCGGACATTGGAACTTGTTGAAAAATTGAGAGTTAACTCGGTATCTGTTGAGCAAAAGGCATGTCGATAGGCTTTTGGCTATTAAATTTGTCGATTTATGTGCAAAGGCCATAAGATGTCTAATTTTTTGAAACCACAGTTTTTCAAATGGATCTTTTTGTAAATAACCTAATGCACCACCATTGCCTGTACATGAAAAGAAAATCAATTTAATGTCAGAGAACTCATAATTGACTTTACGTAATTTACCGGAGCGAGGCTTCTTATTACGTTTTTATCACGTGCATAATGTGAAGATTAGCAGAATTTCGCCTTCCCAACTGCTGGCAATGCTGTGTTTTTCCTGTTTTCAATGGCTTTTGCCTTGCTACATGTGTGCTACAGGAAAACCTTGGGCGCTTCCTTGTTCCCATGGCTAGACTCGTGACCGCCTATCAAATTCGCGACAAAGGATTTATTCCAAATGGAAACCAACGTTCAGGTGTTCCCTGAACGCCCCAATGAAAGGCGACAAAACGTAAACTAAAACATTAGTCAGTCCAAACCAGTTTTGCAGTGAAATAAATGCCGCTCATAAAGAAGGCATTGTCAAGTCTATAAATTAACATTCGCCCTGAAAATATAGTTAAGCTGTGCCACCAATTTGGTATTTCAAAAAATATTTTCGTTAAAAAACGCCTAAAAAACGGCTTACTACAGTAAACGATTTAACTCATCTTATGTCAGCCAAAATTTCGAAATGCTTTTTGAAGCAGTGTTTTCCCGGGATAAATTTGAACAAGGCGAAGGCGACAAAGAATGCAGAATTTAATGACGTCATAAATATCGAGACCTCTCATTTAGCTGCACACGGTCATTGCATAGTTATATAACAAGGCAAAACTGTCAAATCAACGATCGACCCAGAGAGCTAAAACGTGATAGGTAACCTGAAACATGGGTCTAGCATGCGGGTGCATATGGTGAGGCGGGGAGGGGGAGAGTAGTCATCCAAGTATGAGAGAACTGGTGCAGCGTGATTTGGAGTGCAACGTGCGGGGAGCATTCAGTCATGCCGGGAGAGCGGGGGCGCGGGTGGGGGCGAAATGAGAGGGCGTACATGGGAACAGGGTTTCGTCCATAATCGATAATTACCATGGCAGTGCCAGGTTTATCACAAGGTTCAGCTGCTTACAGAGTTCTGGTTTCCTCCTCCGTATTGCAGCGGCCTCTGCAAAGCGCAAGAGACGCCCGGTCGTCGCCCGAAACAGTACCTTGAATGCAACCGTTGGGTCCACCGTATGGCCCGTGTCCACTAGGTGTTTTGTGATTGAGCTCCTGGGTACCTTATTTTCCGCCTTAAGCAGCCACTTCGGCATGTGTTCAGCTGACCGAGCTGCCAACTGCCTTTGCGTGCGCCCAATGTACTTGCATCCGCAACTACATGTAAACTCATAAATACAGTTTGATGTGGCGTGCATAGGCAAAATGTCTTTAGCTGGTCTAACAGGGATGGCGGTTGTGGTGCTTATGAACAACAATTTAGAGACGGCATACGTCCTTTCGATAGTGCACCAAAGTGGTCGCTTGATCACGTTTGATACATTATCACTCTTGAAGGGGAGGTAGATGGTCACGGACTTTTTAGGTACAGATATTTCTTCAGGAGTTTCTTTTCTGGGATAGCGATAATTATCGATGAATTTCTCCGGATACCCGTTTGCAAGAAAACCGTTCTTTAGGAAAGTAAGCTCGACATCAATCTTATCTGCATGCTTTGTTGCCTTCGCCTTGTTGAAATACTTTTTGTTTCTAAAAGATTAACTGAATAGGGTTGCGAAACTTGTTATTGTGCAGGATAATTCCATAATAAATCAGTAACGTCGGGATGCCGGCTTTCGAACGACATTCTTTTTGGATTCATACAAAAACCATACTCTGCATAAAGGAGTACTTATATAGCATGCATTTTCTTGTTGATTTTTAAACCCCTTAAAATGCAGTTATATTTCATGGAAACACGCAAAACGGCTTTCCTTTTTTACTTTTACGGTAGAAAATTACGCCTTCTTGCAACGGTATATTCGAAAGAATGTTATAATTCGGATTTAAAAAGTTCCTAGCTCTGAGGTTTTATAATAAGGCGAAATGGCCCTGCATCAAACCTCATGTCTGGGCATTTACCGACTTGGCTTGTTAAGTTAACAATGTGACTCAAATCCACTGCTAAATTGTATGAACCCCATTTAGTCTCCTAATACCGTTCAGAAACTGTGGTTTTCTGTAAACAGAAAATAGGCGGTTTGTAGTTTGGAAACCGTGAATGCAAATGCAGCGACAGGCGGGGTTCAAACTTATTCAAGAAACGTAAAAGATTTTGAAACCGAATTATATCCTTCTTTTGAGTATAAATCTGGTTGAAGACGTAATTTTCACTGAATGAGCAAAGAATGGATATGTTTATGCATGTTTTCCATGAAATATAACTGAGCTTTAAGGGTTTCGAAGATCAGTGAGAAAACTGCGCGTTACCTAAGCAGCCATTTTTACAGTTTGGTTTTTGCATGCAACCAAAAGGAGAGTCGTTCAAAAGCCCGTATACTGCGGTGACGGAATTATTATACCATGACGTTGCCAAATGATTATCTTCGAAACCCTACTTCATTAATCTTTTCGAAACGAAGTTGCATTTTGGTTGACATTACATGAGTTAGCCCACATACTTTATGAACATGCACAAGAAAAGGGAACACATGTGAACGAAAATAGAAAGATAAATGATAGCAACTGCAGAAAATCAGTATCCTGTTAATGAAGCACTTGTATACCTCAGAGCACAAGCTGTTGGATTTGTCCACAATAAATTGTTCGACTTGATTAAATGTACAATTTGTTGTTGCATTAATTTATTTCTCTCCTCTTTGTGCTAATTTGACTCGATAGTTGTAAAAAACCACACTGAAGGACTGACTTCTGGCTGATGGCAGTGATGGCAATCGATTGTAGGCCGCATGCTGGGAGATTCCTAGTTGTCTAAAAGGTTGGATTACGGTTAATGGCGTTGACAGACTTAAACTTATTTGAAGGATGGTCAGGAGTATTTTCGTGTTAGATTACGGTATCCAATCGGCGTCGATGGATGCCGCTGTAATTAAAAACAGCTTTTACAATGTTGAAGAACAAACTCCAGTTGGTGGTATACGTAGTCGGCTACCCCTTGAA